AGCTTTCTATAAACTCACTTGACACTAGAATCTTAGATCTCTGAGCTGCTACTGTTCTTCTTCCATCACTCCGCATTTACTTTGTGTATATTTTGCAATTACTTATCTGTGATTATGCTATTTCCCCCAATTAGGCAGCCAGATGGCACAGCACACAGATCACTGGGCCTGGAGGCTGGAAGATCTGAGTTCAAATCTAGTCTTACTAGCTCTGTGACCCAGGGCAAGTCACTTAAGCTCTGTTTGTCTCAGTTTCCTCAACTGTAAAATGTGGATAATAATAGCACCTGTTTCCCATGGTTGTTGTGAGGATAAAAAAAAAATGATATATTTGTAAAATGATTATTAGCACAGTGCTAGACAGGCACTACATTCATTCACATTTCCTTCCTCCATGCCCACCCCAGCCCCCAACTCCCACCCCAATAGAATGTAGCTCAGCACCTAGCATAGTGCTTATCATTTAATAGGAGCTTACTCTGTAATGCAGAGAGCACAACTCTGATGGGCTGGCCATGTTGTTCCAATGTAAAACGTATGCTGGTGAGAAGGACTATTTTATGGAAAACTCAGACAAGGCAAGTGCTCACATGGTGGTCAGAAGAAGAGCTACAAGGACACTCTCAAGGTCTCTCTTAAGAATTCTGAATCGATTGTGTGACATGGGAAACACTGGCGCAGGACCACTCAGCATGGAGTGCCTTCATCAGAGAAGGTACTGTGCTCTATGAGCAAAGCAGAACTGAAGTAGCTCAAAAGAAACACGAGATGCACAAATTTAGAGAATCCACCCCAAATGTTCACGTAGACTAATTTACGTCTGACCTGTGATAGAACATTCTGAGCTCATACTGGTCTGTTTGGCCACGGTCAGACACACTGCAACTTGACTCTAGCACAGTGATGTCATTTTGGTCTTCTAGAACCAAGGACAACCAACCAACAGGAGCTTAATAGTTGTGTTTCTGTTCTACCTACCTTTTGCCCCTAATGAAAGCAATCAATCCATTCCATCAAATTTTTCACATTGCTTTGCATGGATCTCTTTTTTATGTTTATCAAATTCTGTCTTGAATTTATAGTAAATTGTATATAGGTAATTACCCCCTGAACCAGCCTATAAACTCCATGAAGTCAAAGATTATCTTTATATTCCCAGAACAGCACACCGCACAAAACAAGATCTAGATAAGTGTTTGTTGAATTGAATCCTAGACAGTGTATTTTAACTGCATTTTATTTTTATCTCAAAGGAGGAAAAACTATAAAGATTTTGTTTAAAAAAAAAAAGATCCATCCTTCTAGGGCAGCTAGGTGGCTCAGTGGATAGAGCGCTGGCCCTGGAGTCAGGAGGACCTGAATTCAAATCTGGTCTCAGACATATAACACTCACTAGCTGTGTGACTCTTGGCAAGTCACTTAACCCCAATTGCCTCACCATAAAAAAAAGAAAGCCATCCCTTTAAACAGTATAATCAATTGTTAAGTATTCCTCTGACTAGTAATCTAGTTAATTATATGTTCTAGTTAATGGAAAAATGAATTAGTTTTCAAAGAAAAACAATACAATCAAATATGCTTACAAAAATGTAAAACATACCTTAATACTGTTCATACTGAACACAATTAAACATTTTTGATATTCCAAAGACACCCTAGGATCACTTCATGGCCACCATTTCCAAACCATGGTATCTGAACTTTGGTACTCTGCACCATCCTCATCCTCTTTATCCTCTTCCCACATTGGACTTTGTCCCTAGAACCACCCTGGGCTCTGATAGGTAAATACGGTAAAGCTTTCCTTGCTTGAAACCAGGCATTGATTTCCAGCTCCCATTTCCAAACCATGGCTCCTTGAATTACCCCTCCCATTTCCAAGGTCCCTTTAGGTATTGTTTTCATTAGAACATGGGCTCCTGGATGGCAGGGACTGTTTTGCTTGTTTGTATTTGTATCCCCTGTATTTAAGGTTTTGCAAATGTTGATCATATGCACCTCACAACAGCCTTAGCACATAATTAACAGCTGACTACAACAATGTAAATATAAAGTGTAGCAATAACAAAACAATTGACTATGGGGACTATGACTATGGAACACCATAGATTTTTCTGATATATTGGTCAGTTTTGCTAAGTTTTTTCCCCCTCTATTTTATTCTTTGTTACAAGGGATGGTTCAATGGGAGGGAGAAAGGGTATAATAGGAAATACAGTTGATACTACAACAAAGGAATCAATTAAAATTAAAAAAAGGTTTCTAGTCAGATCAACAGCTTTTATAATTTTTATATTTTATATATATTTTATACATATTATATATAAATATATATGATAAATATATATTTATATATAATATATATAAATATTTAATTTTTATATTTTTTATACATATATATTTTTTATATTTTATTTCCTTGACTTGGGGATTTTCATATGCAATTTGTGATTTCATATTATTAGAGAGCACTGAAAAAGGCCAAGTGAAACATCCTTCTTACCTCTGGTGTCCCACAAAACGTTGTAGTTGTGTCAGATATAGCAATCCCTTCTTTACATAACCCAAAATCTGTTAAAACGACATGTCCCTGTCAAGTACAGAATATCAGTAGAATGATGCATACACAAAAACCACAAATACATTTTAATAGAATTTTGGAATTTACCTATGAGAAAAAAAAACATACTTACTATTGAATCCAAAAGAATGTTTTCTGGTTTCAAGTCCCTGTCCCCAAGAAAAAAAACAGACCTCTACATTAATTAAGATATTAGAGGAAAAAGGAATACTAATTATGAGAGAACATTTATGTAATTTACCTGTATACTATTTTTATAGAATGCAAGTAGCCCAAAGCACTGGCAATTTCTGCAGCATAAAATCTGGCTCTGTGTTCTGGAAAGGACCGTTCTCTTTGTAAGTGAAAGAAAAGCTGTCAACAAAAAGAATTCATGCTAAGATCAAAGTGGAAAGTAATACACATATATTTTATAACTCCAAGGACTGAATTTATTGGTATTATTTTTACAATAAAGTTATCCTGGCCAAGTTTGGCCCCAGAAAGAAGACATGAGAAAATGTTCCTGCTCCTCCCCTCTCTTTTTAGATATGATATGTTGTTTGGTTTTTCTGAACTATTTTTCTCATTTTTTTTTAAAGTTCAATAATAATTGATAAAGATAACCTAGAAACAAGATTGTAAATGAGATTCAGAAAAACAGACTTTTTATTTATAGCATAGTATTTAGAAATGCTAACAAACACAATAAGATTACATGCAAAACTTACTTCCCCTCCATTAACAAAATCCAAAACAAAATAAAGCTTTTCAGTTGTCTGGAATGAATAATGTAATCCAACCAAAAATGGATGCTTCACATTTTTCAAGAGCACATTACGTTCAGCCATAATATGTTTTTGCTGGAAAAAACGGAAAAGAATCAACTTGTAACATACACTAAGAACAACATTTTGGTTAGTTGCGAATGACAATACACAAGTCTTTTAATTTACCTCTTTCCTTTTCAGAACAATTTTTTTCTGCAACACTTTGACAGCATAAAATTTTCCATCTAGTTTCCTTTTTGCAAGAAGAACCTGTCACATTTCAAGATAAAGGAATAATTATAATTAACATTCTGTTAATAACAACTTAATTTGTTGGTAGAAACAACATTAAAATACAAGGCATTAACATCTGTTTTGCCACTGTACCCTAGGGTTCATGGGACTTTTTCATTTGACATGCAGCTGAAGTCTTCCATGCGTTGTTTCCCCCATTAGAATGTGAGCTCCCTGAGAGCAGGGGCTATATGACTTTTCTATTTCTAAATCCAGCACTTAATACAGTCCTTTGTACACAGTAAGTGCTTAATATATGCTTTGTTCATTAATCCATTCATTCACCAATAAATGAAAATTTTTAACTGGAAAAAAAGATACAAAATGACTGAGATAACTGCTTACTTGTGTTCTGAAAAGTGAAACTTCTGATTTTACTTGCCTGATTTCCTTCCTTTTCCCTTTAGACTAGATGGGAAGATTATGAGAAGAATGAGGTTCTGATCCACTTCTACTTAGTAAACTTTTATTAGTTTTTAATAATCTTGTCTTCACTTACTAAAGATAAATGAGAAAGTTAAATGGAACTTGAGATAACTAAAATTTCTCTTTCTTTTAGCAAATTCCTAAAAAGCACCTTTTAGGTTTTATGTTGGGATTTGTATTTGAGAAAGACAAAGAAAGGGAAATGATAAACACGTAATAGAAATAAACATATCTTTCATAATTAGGTTTTTCTTTCCACCTTCGGTTTGAGGTTTAAGCATCTTATTCCAGAAGCAGCCCCCTGCTGCAGGTAGTGGCACTGCAGTACTTATGCATATTGCACACCCTTAGCTTAGTGGAAGGTTTAGAGGGACAAGTATAACAAAGAGAAAAGGCAGGGGGAGTAGAGGTGGGTGAGCTCCAGAGAAGGCTCTGGTTGTAAATTAGGAGAGGCAGCACTCAAGGGGAGAGTGCTGGGCTTGGAGCATGAGAGAATGGAGCTCTAGCCTCGATTTTGTCTTGATGCCTAGCTACATGAAGTTGGCTGGGTAAGTCACTTCCAATCTTTCCAGGTTATAGTTTCCTCTTCTGTAAAGTAAGAATGTTCAGACTAGATCAGAGGCCACCACACCTAACATAAAGACTTAAACCTAACATACTGACTTAAAAAGTCACACATTAACACTATCACTGTTCTGCAGTACTTAAAAAAAATTATTAGATATTTTCCAATTACAATAGTGTTATGGCTGCATATAGTCTGGACTGGATGTTTCTAAGGCCTCCCCTAAGAAGGAAGCACCCTATGCTTGCTTTACAAAGACCGTCTGAAGTACAGCCAGAACTAGAACCTACATTTCCAAATTCCCAGTCCACTGGTGCTATTTCACAATGAGGAATGTGACTTGTAAATATTAAAATGCTACTGAAATGTGATCTTTTTATTCCAGGTAAGCAACTATACCATGCTGACTTCCTCCATGGCAAGGATTAATCAGAAAAGCCTCTTCTGGTAAGTACAGTTTAGAATCACTCACACAGAAAAAATCCACAGAACATTAACTAAAATGAACGTTGGAGTTGATTTAATTGAAACTTCAAATTTCAGATGAACAAACTGAGATTATTCTTAAAAAAAAAAGCCAAGAGGGAAGGTAATTATGTGAGAAAATTTTTAACATAATTTAGTTTGAATTATCAACAATCACTTCCATAAGCTTTTAAGTTTTAAATTTTTCTCCCCTTCCCTCCCCACCTTCCTCCCTAAGATGCACACAATCTGATATAGGCTACACATATACATTCCTATTAAACATATTTTCACATTAGTGTTGTTGTAAGTAAGAATTAGAATCAATAGGAGGAACCACCAGAAAGAGGAAACAAAACACAACAGAAGAAAAAAAAATAGCAAATAGCATGCTTCAATCTGCACTCAAACTCCATAGTTCTTTCTTCTTTATGGATAGCATTTTCCATCATGAGGCCTTTGGAGATGTTTTAGATCCTTGTATTGCTGAGAAGGGTAAAACAGTTTTATTGGCATCTAATTTTTTTTTTGTCTAGATAATGGGGTTAAGTGACTTGCCCAGGGTCAGACAGCTAGTTAAGTGTTGTGCCTGAGGCCGCCTTTGAACTCAGGTCTTCCTGAATCCAGGGTGGGTGCTCTATCCACTGCACCACCTAGCTGCCCCCAAGAAATTCTTTTCCTCCTATGAATGTACAAAAATATATTAAATGCCCTCTTTTATAATTCATTATTCTCAACATCATAACTAGGCTCCTTTTCATTAGTCTTCTATCATTTCACCTCTTCCTTCCTTCTTTTCACCCATTCAACCCTACTGTCTTTTACTAGAAAATGTTCTTATCAATTGCTTGAAATAAGTTTCCACTTTATTTGTACTTTATAGAGTTCCTTACCTCTAACAGCCTCCAATCTGCTGGGATCACATCATTAACTCTTCTAAATATACCTGAACCTCAGTTTTCTCCAGTTATATGAAGATATGTGACCCCCCTCCAAAAAAAGGGTTAAACATATTCTTGGATGACTTTCCTTCTCTTACTTTCTGAGACTGAAGCTATTCTGCTCTGTACTCCCTCTACTCAAAACCAATTTGTTTTTCTTCAATGTGACAAGAGCAATGGCTACTCCACAAAGGTTAGGCTAGTCAGGCAACATCTACTAAGGTCCCTGCCACATAAGTGAGGCTATTTTTTTCCCCTAAAAAGGCAACGAAATTATTCTTGGTATTTAACTGGTCCAGGGGACTGTGGCTCAAACTACTGATATAAGTTTATCAATTAAAGTATAAAAAGGTTGGCACAGGAGTATAACTGGGCTGACTTGGAGCTGGGCTGCTTTCAACTGAAACAATGCTATCTTTGCAGAACATCCTTCACAAGCTATTGCTAAATAAACTTCCATTTATAAAATATGGTCTACAAGCCAGTCAGTCAACAAGCATTTATTAAAAATTTACTATGTATTTAGTGCCAGCCACTGTGCTAAGCAGAGTATGGTAATAAAGATGCTGGACTTGGGGTTGAGTGACCTGGGTTTCAATCTAACCTCCAACATATCTGCAGCTGTGGGACCTTGATAAGTAACTAATCTTTGGGTATCAGTTCCTCCTTTGTAGTAACAGGACAATAATATCCATAGTATTTACCTGCTATACAAATCAAATGAAATAATGTACATACAAATATTTAAATGCTATCTAAAACTCAACTGTTATTATTTTTCAGATTTTTATTCACCTTTATGTGAGCTCCTTGAGGACAAAGGCTGTTTTCAGTTTTGTCTTTCTATCTCTTGGAGACTAAGTTATAAGGCTAATAAGTGGCAAAGAGACCAGTGATCCTTCTTCTACAAGCATTACTAGAATATTTCAAAATCTCATTTATAAGGACCAAGATCAGAGCAATGACCAAACATGACCAGAAGAGATTGATGATGAAAGTACACTTCTCACTTCTTGGCAGAGAGGTGATAGACTAAAGGTGCAGAATGAAATAAACATTTTCAGATGCAGCCGATGTGTGAATTGGTTTTGCTTGATTATACCTGTTTATTTTAGATAAAGGAGGGCTTTTATTTTGGAGGAAGGAGAGTTGTCATAGTGGGGGATACAGTGAAATATAGTAAAAGGAAAAAAAGGAATCAACGAAACTGCAAAAATCTTGAAGGGGTCAGAAGAAGTTCAGAGAGAGTTATTATAAGCAAGCAGGGCAGTATTGGTAACACATGCTGGAAAAAACAAAAACAAGCCCAAGCCCAAGCCCAAAATAATAAAGAATCAGTTTTATAGGCAATTTTATTTTCTGTTCTTGTATATGAAAAAGTTTGTTAAGTTCAAAATAAAAAGGGAAGTATTTTAAAAGCTAATGTGCATGTTGGCTATTTGGAACTTGGAACTCATTTCCCCATAAAAACAAAGCTGGAAATAATGGCTATGTTCCCAGGCTGTGTCATAAAAAACTTGTAGTTCATTATTACCTTTCATCTTATTCAATTTGGTCCAATATTCTAGCCTGTCAAGATAATTTTGAGTTCTGACTCTGTCTTCTAGGGCATTCAGTTTTGTGTCATCTGAAAATTTAATCCTTTATCAAAGTCTTTGATCAGAATATTAAAAAAGCAAAGTGCCAACCTCATTTTTTTGATGCACTCTAATGGAGACCTCCTTCCAAGTTAACATTAAATCATTAATAACTACTCAGAACCTGGCCTTTCAACCACTTCTAAATCCATCTAACTTACTAACAGTTAGCCTGAATCTCTCCTTCTTTTCCATAAGAATAGCATGAGTTTATCAATGCTTGACTAAAATTTAGGCAAATCTTATTACCAACCTTGTGAATAGAGTAAGTGTTGATATAGCGTACTTTGTTGTTCAGTCACGTCTGACTATTTGTTACACCATTTTAGGGTTCTCTTGGCAAAGACACTGGAGTGGTTTGCAATTTCCTTCTCCAGTTCATTTTACAGATGAGGAACTGAGGCAAACAGGTTAAGTGACTTGCCCAGGGTCACACAGCTAGTAAGTGTCTGGGGTCACATTTGAACTCAAGAGGATGAGTCTTTTGACTCTAGGCCCAGTGCTTTATCTACTGGACCACCTAGCTGCTCATAGCATACCTGGTCGTGATGAAACCAAGTCAACTTTTTGTGATTACAACCTAACCATTCTGTTTAGAATGTGGTCAGGAATTTAAGTCAGACTCATTGATCTAGAATTTGCAGATTATATTCTCTTAATTTATTTTTTTAATCAGCAGGAGCCCATGAAGGAAACACTGGAAAAGTATAGAGGAACCAAGACAGTATTTGTGATGAAAGTCAAAAAAGAAGAAAGGGTAATAAATGGCAATATCAGATGTGTCAAAAAGAACATAAATGAAGACAGAGAAAATTTCACTGGATTTGGCAATGAGACTGCTAAAACTTCGGAGAACAGATTCAATAGGATTGAAGGCAGAAAGCAGGATGTATCTCATTACAAAAGCAATATGCGGTTAGGAAGCTGAGGCAGGTTGACAAATTGAGCTATGGAAGAAAATTCAGAATCAATACTATATTACTTATTCATATTCAGTTGATAATGACTGACATTTTTATTTTATGTTTTTTAACCAAATTATCTTATTTTTGTGCGCTTTTAAAATAGTTTTCCTTTTAACCACTTTTGATGGTTCTCCCCGCCCATGATCATTAGTTTCTAGTCACTCCTCAATTTAAATTTCATCCAAATCCCCAAGATAAATATAGTTAACTGTGTCTAACTATATATGCAGAGCTGTTGGTAGTGTGATTTAGTATGTAAGCTCCTTAAATGCCAGGAACCCAGAACCATTTATCTAATTTCAAATACAACTAAGTAGAATACTACATATATGTATAATATTTTATTTTGATACTGACAAGTGGAATGAAAATTCAAGCATTCCAATGCCTTTCATTTTCTTTTTGTTTGAATTTAACTAAATTCAATTCTATTTTATTTTATTTTCAGGTCCACATTCTCTTCTTTCCACCTTTCCCTATCCCCTCCCTACTTGAGAAAGCAAGAAAAATAAAACCTTTTTTACAACCACATAGATCTAAGCAAAACAAACTCCTGTACTAGCCATACTTCTGGCTCTCCCATCTACCCTGCCCCAAAGCCTCTATCTGTACTCTGAGTCCATCACTTCTCTGAGGTGCGTAGCATATTTCATTACGAGTCCTCTGGAATTGTGAGTGAGCATTATGTTGATCAGCATTCCCAAGTCTTTCAAGGCTATTTGTCCTTACAATATTGTTGTTATTGTATAAATTGTCCTCTTGGTTCCTTTCCCTTCACTCTGCATCAGTTAATACATGTCTTCCCAAATTTCTCTGAGATATCTCCTTCACCACTTCCTACAGCACAAGACTATGCCATCATATTACTATACTATAGCTTGCTCAGTCATTACCTGGCAGGCACCATTTCAGTTTCCAATTCTTTGCCACTATAAAAAGAACTGCTATAATATTTTTGTTCACATGGTTCCTTTCTGTCTTTCTTTGATCTCTTTGGGAGGACAGAACTAGTAGTAATATTGCTGGATCAAAGGGTATGCACAGTTTGATAGTCTTTTGGACATATTTCCAAACTGCTTTTCAGAATAACTGGACCAGTTAATGCACTAACAATGCATTAATGTACCTATTTTCTCACAGTCCCTCTAGCATTTGTCATTTTCCTTTTCTATCAACTCTGCAATGATGGGTGTGAAGTGGTACCAAAGAGCTGTCTTAATTTGCATTTTTCTAATAACTGGTCATTTAGGGCATTTTATATGGTTTTTAATAACTTGGGTTTCATCTTCTGTAAACGCCCCACTGGCATTCTTTGACCATTTGTCCACCAGGGAATGGCTCTTATTTGTATAAATTTGACTTCAGTTCCCTATGTCTTAAAAATGAGAACTTTATCAGAGAAACTTACTGCAAAGATTCTCCCCCTCCACAATTTCCTGTTTCTCTTCCAATATTTGCTGAATTTGTTTTGCTTGTATGTACAGACTTTTAAAATTTTATGTAATCAAAACAGTACATTTTACTTCCTGTCAACCTCTCTATTTCCTGTTTGGTTATGTATTCTTCCCCTAATCCACAAATCCGACAGGTAATTTCTTCCGTGCTTTCCTGATTTGTTTATATGTTCGTGTTTAAATCATGTACTCATCTAAAGCCTGTCTTAATCACTTTTCTTTTTTAAGGAGTATCTCTTCAACCCTAGAAGTATTTCCTTCCTTCTTTCCTTCCTATCTCTATACTACTCTACGGCCCTTGTGAAATAGTGCCTTATACTAGTGATATCTGCATGTATCTTATCTTTCCTATTAAACTGTAAGTGTCTTGCAGGAAAAAACCGTCTTATAAAACTTTGAATCCCACACGGTTCTAAACACAAGAAGATGCTCACTGAAGTTCTTGTTCAATAAATTTACTGAATAAGAAAATAGAGATACTTTACCTTGCCAAAGCTGCCTTTTCCAATAACTTTTAGGAAATCAAAATCTGTTGGTTTGGCACTGAAACAAATTAAGAAAGACACAAAAATAAACCAGGTTATTAATCTAAGTGAGAAAAAAGCTGACTGTCCTAGTTGTAAGTAGCATATTAGCACTGAACTTTATGGCATAATGGCTTGAGCTATTTATAAAATACCTAAGAATGTCTTTAACCAATAAAACCAAGTAAGTTTTAGGATTGTTAATCTAAAAAAATTTAAATTTCTGTTTATTACATAATGATTATAATAATGTAAATGGAAAGGACAACCACAAAACAATAAAAAACAAATATAAAGTTATAAAGAATAAGCTTGGCCCCAAAGAAGAAATATGAGGAAATACTCCCACCCCTTGTTTTTACAGAGATATGAGATTCCACAAGTGTGAAACACTGCACATAATATCAGATTTTTAAAATACACTTATTGGTTGTCCAGAATTTTTCTCTCTCTCCTAAAAAAAATTTCCTTATTATACGGAATGGCTCTTTGGGTTGGGGGGAAAGGGATCCAGAGGGAAATTCAGGCAATATAAAAACAAAATCAATAAAAATATATTTTAAAACTTATGTTTTACATATATTTTAAAATATATTATGATGAGCAAAAAGATATCAATCAATCCATTAATCAAGTATTTATTACCACATGTAAGACCCTGCAGTAAGTGGTGGGGATGGATGCACATACAAAGAATGAAACAATCTTTATGTGTAAGGAGCTTATATTCTCATAGAGAAGACAAGAGGCACATTAAAAATACATACATGTATATATGTAAATATAGCACGAATATAAAATTAATAAAGTCATACATGAAGTAATTAAATACAAAGTAGTTAGGAGGGAAGAGAGATAGGGCATCATGTAGAAGATGGTGCCTGAGCTGCATAATAAAGGGAGAGAGGGATGCTATTAAGAAAGAAGTGCATCAGGACACACAGAATGGCCAGGAGACAGGCACTTACTCACACAGAGCTGGAGTGTGGTTTGTGAGTGTAGGATGAAGAATAATGTCCAGTGAGGCTGGAAAGACAAGCTATGAGCAGGCTATGTAGGGCTCTAAAAACTAAACAGCAGTTTGTATTTTATCCAGGAAACACTAAGGAGACACCATAGTTGGATGAGTAGGGGAGTCTGCCAGCAGTGTGTAGGAGGGTCAGAGCAACTAGAGGTCAGAAGACCAATTAGGAAGCTGTTGCGGTAACCTAGGAGAGGTGAGGAGAGCCTGAACTACGGTAGTATTTGGGTAACTGGAAAGAAGAGTGCAGATTCCACAAATGTTGTGAAGGTAGGAATAGCAAGATCTGGCAACTGATTGAACATGTAGGATGAAGAAGAGAGAGGAGTCCAGAATAACCCCGAGATTACGAACCTAAGCGACTGGAAAGATGATGGTAGTTCTGATAGAAACTGGGAAACTTGGACAAGGGAAGGATTAGGGAGAAAACATAATGAGTTCAGTGTGGAAAGCAATATACATCCTAACTAAATTCGTGAGTTGGCATTACAGGATATAATACTTACAGCTGGTAATATCTGTTGAAGGAGAAATCTTGGAATAGATAGTAAAGCTACGAATAAACCTTTTTTTCTAGTTGTAGGAAAAGACAATCACAATTTCACAAAGACTTATCGAATGGCTATGTAACTTATTTTGTTTCTGCCTTTGAATGGAGAGAGAAGGCAGTGAGGAACAAAGGAATCAGAGAGAAAGCTAAGGCCATCCCTTTATTTGGAACAACCTGGCAGATGAATATTCTGTTAGTGGGTGGAAAAGAGAAAAGCTGTGGGCAAAGTTGAGAAAAAACTGCTACAAAGTTTGATGTCACCTCTGGTCTGAAGCTGTACTAGGAAGATGCTCACTCCAAGATAAAAATGCAATCAGTCAACAAGAATTTACTCAGTGCGTATCATATACCAGGCTCTGTTAAGTGCTCAGGATACAAAGGAAGGCAAAAAAACAGTTCTTGCTCTCAAGGAACTCACAGTTTAATAGGGGAGACTGTGCAAAGAACTATGTACAAATAAGATCTATATCATAAAAATGGGAAAAGACCCACACGTACAAAAATATTTATAGCAGCTCTTTTGTGGGGGCCAAGAATTGGAAATTGAGGGGATGCCCATCAATTGGGGAATGGCTGAACAAGTTGTGGTGTATGAATGTAATGGAATACTACTGCACTATAAAAATGATGAGCAGGAAGACTTTAGAAAAGCCTGGAAAGTCTTACATAAACTGATGCTGACTGAAGTGAGTAGAACCAGGAGAACAACGTACACAGTAGCAGCCACACTGTATGATGATTAACTTCCATAGACTTGGCTCTTCTCAGCAATACAAGGATCCAAGACAACTCCAAAAGACTCATAATAGAAAATGCTGTCCATTTCCAGAGAAAGAACTATGGAGTCTGAATGCAGATCGAAGCATACTGTTTGCTTTCTTTTTTTGTTGTTATTGTTTTTTCTTTCTTGTGGTTCCTCCCATTGGTTCTAATTCTCCTTTACAACATGACTAATGTGAAAGCATTTAATATGAATGTATATGTACAGACTATATCAGATTGCACGCCATCTTGGGGAGGGATGGAGAAGGGGAGGGAGAGGAAGAAAATTTAAAACTCAAGAGCTTATGGAAGTGAATGTTGAAAACTAAAAATAAATTAATTAATTAAAAAAATAAGATCTATACAAGATAAATTGAAGATTGTCTCAAACAGAACGCACTAGGATTAAGGACGATTGGGAAACACTTCTTACAAAACACGGGATTTCACTGAAACCTGAGGAGGGCCAAGAAAGCTAGAAGGTGGAGCTCAGGAGGGAGGAAGTCCCAGACAGTGAAAATGCTCAGTCAGAAGACAGAGTGTCTTGTCTAAGGAACAGCAAGATGTCCAGTGTTCCTGGTAAGTAAGAAGACTAGAAAATGGGGTAGAGGCTAGGTTATGAAGGGCTTTAAAAGCCAAATAGAGAATTTTATTTTTGATCATGAAGGTACAGGGAGCTACTGAAGTCTACTAAATAGGGAGTGACACAGTGCTTATAGATCAATTTTACAGCTGAGTGGAAGATGGATTACAGTGAGATAAAATTTAACTACGTCTTCCAAGCAAGAGATGGGGAACACATTTTTAATGGCTTATTTAAAAAAATTAAACAATGTTTTTTAATTTGGCTCATAATCCTTTGGGAGGAGGCAGAATTGTGATTTTGTCTGTGCAGGAAACCCCCAGAGTGGAAATTTCCTCCATTTATATAACCATTAATTCTTCAAATACACAATTACGGACATGCAGTTAAAAAGGACTATTCAGAACCACATTTTTCTTTTAAATCTCTTGGGATAACCCACCCTCCAACCAATTTTCAGATCGATATGATGGAAAAAGTGATACAGATAGAATTATGGATAACATAGGAAAGATTCGAGAGGCCTACCACTAT